AGAACGTCCACTGGGTGCCGACTCATTTGATGAAAGCCGACGGCCTCACTAAGATGTCCTTGCAGCTGATGGAAGGGCTGCATAGTTGGCTCTTGAAGCCGTTCATAATCCTGCGTGATATCATTGCCAAATAGAAAACCTTACCGGTGTTAAACCTGCGCTTTTGCTTCCCTTGGCAATGACTCACGCATGTCCTTCTCCCGCGGCCATTGCGGCTGACATCACTGCCCAGTCGGGCCCACTTGAGCGATTCTTTCATGGAAAACCAGCCTTACGCTTCCTTGCTCTGCAGCCACGCGGTGTTTCTGCACTGAGCGAGTGGTTTGCTAAGAGGAAACCTCGAAGAGACAAGGCGTTCGAATTTGCTTGCTGAGTTTGCTTGCTTTGCAAAAGGCCCCAAGATGCGCACAGGATAGGAAACCTCGAAGAGGAAAGACGTTTGAATTTGCTTGCTCTGTGAAAGGCCCCAAGATGCACACAAGATAGGAAACCTCGAAGAGGAAAGGCAATTCAATCTGCTTGCTCTGCGAAAGGCCCCAAGATGTACGCAAGATGGGAAACCTCGAAGAGACAAGGCGTTCGAATTTGCTTGCCGAGTTTGCTTGCTCTGCAAAAGGCCCCAAGATGCGCACAGGATAGGAAACCTCGAAGAGGAAAGACGTTTGAATTTGCTTGCTCTGTGAAAGGCCCCAAGATGCACACAAGATAGGAAACCTCGAAGAGGAAAGGCAATTCAATCTGCTTGCTCTGCGAAAGGCCCCAAGATGTACGCAAGATGGGAAACCTCGAAGAGACAAGGCGTTCGAATTTGCTTGCTGAGTTTGCTTGCTCTGCAAAAGGCCCCAAGATGCGCACAGGATAGGAAACCTCGAAGAGGAAAGACGTTTGAATTTGCTTGCTTTGTGAAAGGCCCCAAGATGCACACAAGATAGGCAACCTCGAAAAGGAAAGGCAATTCAATCTGCTTGCTCTGCGAAAGGCCCCAAGATGTACGCAAGATGGGAAACCTCGAAAAAACAAGGCGTTCGAATTTGCTTGCTGAGTTTGCTTGCTCTGCAAAAGGCCCCAAGATGCGCACAGGATAGGAAACCTCGAAGAGGAAAGACGTTTGAATTTGCTTGCTCTGTGAAAGGCCCCAAGATGCACACAAGATAGGAAACCTCGAAGAGGAAAGGCAATTCAATCTGCTTGCTCTGCGAAAGGCCCCAAGGTGTACGCAAGATGGGAAACCTCGAAGAGACAAGGCGTTCGAATTTGCTTGCTGAGTTTGCTTGCTCTGCAAAAGGCCCCAAGATGCGCACAGGATAGGAAACCTCGAAGAGGAAAGACGTTTGAATTTGCTTGCTCTGTGAAAGGCCCCAAGATGCACACAAGATAGGAAACCTCGAAGAGGAAAGGCAATTCAATCTGCTTGCTCTGCGAAAGGCCCCAAGATGTACGCAAGATGGGAAACCTCGAAGAGACAAGGCGTTCGAATTTGCTTGCTGAGTTTGCTTGCTCTGCAAAAGGCCCCAAGATGCGCACAGGATAGGAAACCTCGAAGAGGAAAGACGTTTGAATTTGCTTGCTCTGCGAAAGGCCCCAAGACGCACACAAGATCGGAGACCTCGAAGAGGAAAGGCAATTCAATCTGCTTGCTCTGCGAAAGGCCCCAAGGTGTACGCAAGATGGGAAACCTCGAAGAGACAAGGCGTTCGAATTTGCTTGCTGAGTTTGCTTGTTCTGCAAAATGCCCCAAGATGCGCACAGGATAGGAAACCTCGAAGAGGAAAGACGTTTGAATTTGCTTGCTCTGTGAAAGGCCCCAAGACGCACACAAGATCGGAGACCTCGAAGAGGAAAGGCAATTCAATCTGCTTGCTCTGCGAAAGGCCCCAAGATGTACGCAAGATGGGAAACCTCGAAGAGACAAGGCGTTCGAATTTGCTTGCTGAGTTTGCTTGCTCTGCAAAAGGCCCCAAGATGTGCACAGGATAGGAAACCTCGAAGAGGAAAGACGTTTGAATTTGCTTGCTCTGTGAAAGGCCCCAAGATGCACACAAGATCGGAAACCTCGAAGAGGAAAGGCAATTCAATCTGCTTGCTCTGCGAAAGGCCCCAAGATGTACGCAAGATGGGAAACCTCGAAGAGACAAGGCGTTCGAATTTGCTTGCTGAATTTGCTTGCTCTGCAAAAGGCCCCAAGATGCGCACAGGATAGGAAACCTCGAAGAGGAAAACGTTTGAATTTGCTTGCTCTGTGAAAGGCCCCAAGATGCACACAAGATAGGAAACCTCGAAGAGGAAAGGCAATTCAATCTGCTTGCTCTGCGAAAGGCCCCAAGATGTACGCAAGATGGGAAACCTCGAAGAGACAAGGCGTTCGAATTTGCTTGCTGAATTTGCTTGCTCTGCAAAAGGCCCCAAGATGCGCACAGGATAGGAAACCTCGAAGAGGAAAGACGTTTGAATTTGCTTGCTCTGTGAAAGGCCCCAAGATGCACACAAGATAGGAAACCTCGAAGAGGAAAGGCGTTTGAATTTGCTTGCTCTGCGAAAGGCCCCAAGATGCACACAATAGGAAACCTCAAAGAGGAAAGACGTTTGAGTCTGCTTGTGAAAGGCCCAACATGCACACAAAATAGAAAAAAGTTGAAGAGGAAAGGCATTAGCATTTGCTTGTTCTGCGAAACACCCCAACATGCCCACAAAATAGGAAACCTCGAAAAGGAAAAATGTTTGAATTTGTTTGCTCGGCGAAAAGCCCCAAGATTCACACAAGATAGGGAACTGCGAAGAGGAAAGTTGCTTGAATTTGCTTGCTTTTGCGAAACGCCCCAAGACGCGCACAATATAGGAGACATCGACGAGGAAAGGCGTTAGAGTCTGCTTGCTTTGTGAAAGGCCCCCAGATGCACACCAAACAGGAGACCTCGAAGAAGAAAGGCAATTCAATCTGCTTGCTCTGCGAAAGGCCCCAAGATGCACACAGATTATGATCTTTGAAGAGGAAGGGCGTTTGAATTTGCTTGCTTTTGCGAAACGCCCCAAGACGCGCACAATATCGGAGACATCGAAAAGGAAAGGCGTTTGAGTCTGCTTGTTTTGTGAAAGGCCCCAAGACGCACACAAGATAGGAAACCTCGAAGAGGAAACATGTTTGAATTTTCTTGTACTGCAAAAGGCCCCAGATGCACACAAAATAGGAAACCTCGAAAAGGAAAGGCGTTCGAATGTGCTTGTTCTGCAAAAGGCCCCCGATGCACACAGAATAGGAAACCTCGAGAAGGATGGGCGCTAGAATTTGCTTGCTCTGCAAAATGCTCCAAGATGCACACAAGATACGAAACCTCGAAGAGGAAAGACGTTCAAATTTGCTTGCTCTGCGGAACGCCGCAAGATGCACACAAAATAGGAATCCTTGGAGAGGAAAAGCGTTTGAACTTGCTTGCTTTGTGAAAGGCCCCAAGATGCACGCAAAGAAAGGAAGCCTCGAAGAGGAAAGACGTTTGAATTTGCTTGCTTTGTGAAAGGCCCCAAGATGCACGCAAATAGGAAACCTCGAAGAGGAAAGACGTTTGATTTTGCTTGCTCAGCGAAAAGCCACAAGGTGCACACAAAATAGGAAACTTCGAAGAGGAACGACGTTTCAATTTGCTTGCTCTGCGACACACCCCAAAATGCACACAAGATAGGAACCTCGAAGAGGAAAGACGTTTGAACTTGCTTGTTCTGCGACAGGCCCCAAGATGCACACAAGATAAGAAACCTCAAAGAGAAAAGGCGTTTGAATTTGCTTGCTTAGCGAAAGGCCCCAAGATGCACACAATAGGAAACCTCAAAGAGGAAAGACGTTTGAGTCTGCCTGTGAAAGGCCCCAACATGCACACAAAATAGAAAAAGTTGAAGAGGAAAGGCATTAGCATTTGCTTGTTCTGCGAAACACCCCAACATGCACACAAAATAGGAAACCTCGAAAAGGAAAAATGTTTGAATTTGTTTGCTCGGCGAAAAGCCCCAAGATTCACACAAGATAGGGAACCGCGACGAGGAAAGTTGTTTGAATTTGCTTGCTTTTGCGAAACGCCCCAAGACGCGCACAATATAGGAGACATCGAAGAGGAAAGGCGTTAGAGTCTGCTTGCTTTGTGAAAGGCCCCCAGATGCACACCAAACAGGAGACCTCGAAGAAGAAAGGCAATTCAATCTGCTTGCTCTGCGAAAGGCCCCAAGAGGGCACACAAGAATAGGAAACCTGGAAGAGGAAAGGCGTTTGAATATTCGTACAACAAAACGCGCCAGATGTACACAAAATAGGAAACCTCGACGAGGAAAGACGTTTGAATGCGTTTGCTCTGCGACAGGTCCCAAAATGCTGTTAAAGTAGCGAAGTTATTGACCCTGTTGATCCTGAGAATGCAAAAGCTACTTCCCCCTAAGTTAACTGTTTGAATGTTTGAGGTGGTTGGATTCACATTAGTGAACCCGGTTGTCCAACGCAACGGCCAGCAAGACAAAGATGATCAAGTGCCGTTCCCTTCCGGCGTTCCATTCCGAGCCCTCTCGACCCAACGCTTCGGCTGTTGGGAATAATTGGAGCGCAATCGTGATGTTTCTTGACAAAGTTGCACTGCTTAAGAAGGCCGGGAAATTTCGAAAGAAAAATAAGAACAGCTTTGCCTAAATTCGCAATTTATGGTTGAATGGCCCTCTCATGGCACAGGTTGAACAAAACTGACCCCCACTTTTGTTAGCGTAGCGAAGTTATTGATCGTGGTGATCCTGAGAAGTCTCAGCCTTTTGGGAGCCCTGAGAACTCAGGTGCCCGGCCTCCTTTTGGGGCTGGTGGCCATGCGTCGAGCTCGGGGGGCTTCAGTTCGCAGGGCAATTTCACAACTCCCGCCTCCAAGCGCATAGGAGAACAAAAGCAGCCTCAGAGGCTTCTTTTGAGTTTTGCTGGGAGTTTTGCTTGGAGTTTGCCGAGGCTCGGATCGCTGGTCCCCTCCAAGGACTTTATCCTGATGTGCCAGGACAATAGCGGAGTGTCTTTGATGCCTTTCATCTCCTCCGCATCTTCTCACAGGAGCTTTCCTGTTTTTTCTAAAAGCTGCTTGTGGAAGATCTCATGGAACCCAGGCCTACAAGATGAAAATCATGGGAGTGGTGGGCAAAGGAAGCAAGCCACACGTCCGAGCAGTGGAGCCGGGAGACGTGGCCGGCTGCTAAGTTCACGGACTTTGCAGAGCGTGGACCATGGCCAAGCATCGCAGACTAAAAAGCATTGTTGAGCCAAGGTTGTTGCAGACTTTGTATCAACTACTTTAGGTCCGGTAGGCTCTCTCCCATCGTGGCCCCTCTCTCGCCAAGGTCGTTGTGGTTGGCCGCACTGGTGGTCCCAAAAACAAAGTGCTTCGTGCCATCGTCACGCGCATGCGCAGGGCCCCTCGACTGCAGCGGTTGTTGCAAGGCTTTCAAGTCCGACGATCATAGGGGAGACCATTGGGCAGTATCCCCTGGTGGGCGGTGGGGTGGTTGCGAGAGGTCCAAGCTCTTCTGGAAGCATGGCCCGAAAGCCCACACCATAAGCATGTCTTTGTAGGCCGACTCGACTGGATCATGGTCCAAACTGGTGTTCCGGTCGGTTCTAGATTGCCTTCTTTGCCGGGCTGATCCCAGAACACGCCGGAGCCCCTGGGCAACGGCTTCCGCCACGCCTTCGACACGAACTGCGGCGTGCTAGCCGGGATGCCCAGATGACATCAGACTCAGATTCGTTTAGAGGCGTTGTCGGGCCCGGGCTGAGCCCAGTTCCTTGCATCTCATTGCATCTCAGGTGGATCAGGAGGGCAATCCTGTGGGCCTGGATCCCCTAGGGGGGGGGGGGGGGATCCATGGCTTGTGCGCGACTGCAAGTTGCAAGATTGTGATGGGTTTGGGACTCTAAGGCAGCAAAATCTTTGGAAAAATCGACCCCAGGCAAGTTCATGCTGAACTTGTGCAGTCACCGTACATCACACCCATTTCCGCTTGCAGGTGCGCGTTGCGGTGGCCCAAGCTCGCACAGCTTTCGGCACGATGAGCCGGCCATGCTCAGGGCATGTTGCATCACATGGGTGAGAATCGGAGGAGTTGCATCACGTTGCATCACGTTTACAGGGAATATCAGAACCTCAGAAGTCCCGGAGAATCACGAAGCTAACGTTTCTTGCAGCCAAACAGCCTTGTTTAAATCGCTGGAAGCGGCATTCTGGATGTGAGATGTGTTGCCCTGCACAGTCGGGTCTTCGGAGCAACCTCGGCCCCATCTGCGGCCCCCGAAAAAGAATGCTCGCGCGACTGAAGAGTAGTCTAAGCGCAGTCGCAGCGTGGTTGGATAGAGTTGCTTGTGCTGGAGCATCTTGCATTTCCAGGACATCAGGACCGACGCATCTGATGTGGAGCCAGATCCCTGAGGACACGGGGTCTCGAGATGTTGGAAGCAGGTCCGGGGACCTTTGAAAATTTACGTCCCTTCAAGCGGCAATGGATGTCCTGATGCAATGGATGCCCTCTGGCTTGCAGTATCTGAAGCAGTTGTAGAAGCCAATTCCACTTTGCGCCATGGCGGATGCCATGGATGCAGCGTTCCAAGCCCTGCGGGGTGCTCTTGCAAACTTGATCGAGGAGAAGGTTGCCAGCACCCGGCAGGAGCTTGACGCAAAGATGTCGCGGCTGGCAAATGAGAATGCAGCCCTCCAAAAACGGGTTGACATCCTCGAAAGGACCCAAGAGGCCCAAAAGGCACAGGTGCCCATGGTGCCCATGGTGCCTATGCCTCTGCCAACTACGAAGGAGGTGCCAGAAGTGCACTCGGAGGTGCCGGAGGTGCCAGAGGTGCACTCGGGCAGAGTCCTCCCCACCTTGCTGAGACAGGTCTACCGGAACGTCATCAAGATGCGGCCTGACTTGGCCATCACTCCCGATCCCGATGGAACGGGCAAGGGAGGCACGCCAGGTTTGTTGGGACCCAACTCCCCGGGGTCGCCGGACACCGTGCCAGAGAAGGCATGGGAAAGCGATGATGCGCATGCGCACAACGCGCAGGATGCACAGGATGCACAGGATGCACAGGATGCACACGATGCAAATCCGTGGAGTGCATGGAAGCCACGGGAGCGAGAAGAGCCAAGCCGCCCCGTGAGGATCAGCGTCAAGCACTTGCGCCAAAGCCGCCGGTTGAGGGCAAAGAAGACCTTGTATGTGCGCAGCCAGCCTTCCCTCGATGCTGCGAAGACTGGCCAGCGCCTGCAAGAATGGTCGGTGTTCTCAGTGGATGCGGAGACCACCTCAGGCCCTCATATGGCCCGATTGGAAGATGGCTCGGGATGGGTCCCGCTGCTTCGCCAGCAGGGCGAGTGGATGTATGAGGACGTGGATGATGAATGGAACGATTGGAATGAACGGAATGAGCGGAGTCCAGAATGGGGTTCCAAGCCAGAGAAGTCAGAGTCAGAATGGCGCGGTTGGCACAGTTGGCAAAGCTCAACGCGGGACAGCTGGCGCTGAGTGCACATGTGAAACCGGTCATGTAGCAAATGTAGCAACGTAGAATCGCGTAGAATGAAGGTCGACGTTTAAAAACTTTCAAGAAGGGCCCGAAGCCGGTGGCCCGGAAGGCCGCAAGCATAGACTCAGACTCCTCTGGCTATGCAATCACTGCCACATATGGAAATCCTGCACACTGGCCGTAGCCAAGCCACCAAGCCACCAAGCCAGTGGGCTGCCCAGCCCTCCAGAAGGCTGAAGAGAGAGGAAGTCTGAGGGGCCCAATTGTCAGAGCGTCGTGGCCAAGGAGCCAGGCTGCAGCCATGCTGGAAAAAGGGATTTGCCAGCAAAAAGGATGGGACCTCCGCTCAAGGACGAATTGCCCTTGCGCAATCTCCGAGTGCGTCTTTTCCTTTCTTTTGTCCCCTGGAGGAGCTCCTCCAGCCAATCTGCGCTGCACTCCAAGGCTTGAAGGAGCGGGCTCTCAGCTTCTCTGCGGGGCGGGCTCTCTGAGCGTTCTGCTTGCTCTGCTTGCTCTGCTTGCTCTGTGCTGCCTTCCATTGCCTTCCTCTGTTCTGCTCTCCAGAGGCCTGGTCCTGCTGGCAGGCAGATCTGCAGGCTCGGGCCCAGCCTTAGGGCGACCGCTGGGGCTGTTCGGGCGCAGAAATGTTGAAATGGCTTGTTCCTTTTTGGAGTGTACACAGGTCCCCGTGGACTTCCTGGCAGGGTGCTTATCTGCTCTGCGCTGAAGGACTGAAGGTCATACTAGGTCGAGCAACCTCTTGAATTTCGAAGGGCCCATCTCTGCCTTTTCTTCTCCTTTCTCCCTTCATCTCGATTCTCTCTGACCCTCCCCATGGCTCTCTCTGTCTCAACTTTGTCTCCAAGGCTTTGCGGGGTGCCTGCCGCCGAATCGCGGAGGGCAGCGTGCCGTGCTCAGAGTCTCAGAGGAGTCTGAGGCGTTCTGAGGAGTCTGCGAGACGAAGTAATGAGCGAGTGGCCGAAGGCCCGGGAGCTGAAGGAGTTGGACCTCACCCAAAAGGCCGCTCTGTCTTGGCATGTCTTGGCTGTAGCGGCAGAATGTGGCAAATGTGTCCCGCATCTTGTTGCACGAGGGAGGGATCACTTGCCCGGGCCTCCGGGTGGGAAGTCTCTTTTCGTTGTAAAAGTCGTTGAGGGAGCAGCCAGTGCGGAGCGGGTGAGAAAACCTCTGCAGCAGCAGACAGCTTTGAGCTCAAGACACTCTCCGGGCTTCCCTCGCACTTTGCCTCTCCCCGATCAACATGACCCAGAAGGACTGAGGGAGTCTTCGTGCCTTCGTGCAGTCTCGGAACAGTCTGGGACTGGGCATCTTTATGGGCACAGCGCTGCAGGAGACTCAGTCCCAGTCCAAGGTGGAGGAGCCTGCGTTGAGTGCGATGCGATGATGTCCCCAGTCGATCAAATTACTGGATTGTGCTGGTGTAGCCACTCCGGCCTTTGGCTATGGCACCGGCCTTCAGCTAACGTCATAAAGTTTAAAGGTAGTTGCCGTCTTCTGATGCCAAGACGCGCTGTGCTGCAAGTTGCGGAAGTAAGACTCTTGAAGAGTGGCTTTCGAAGAAGGAGGCTCCGAGAAAGATGCGGAAAAGATGCAAACAAGGTGCTAAAACCAAACATGGACAGATGCAAATCTCTCTCTTTTGGGCAAAGAAGCATTTGAATCATTCGAGTGCAGAAGAACAGGGGGTCAGAGACTTTGAGAAGGAGAAGAGCCATGTTAAGAAACCGAGAATGACATTAATATTTCAGAGGCGTGTCGCGGCAGTCGTGGATCCACTGCTTTGTTTTGTTTGCCAGGAGCTCCGAACGCAGCTGGAGGTCCCGCCGAATGTGTGAGAAGACATATATGGCCTTGCTTGGGATGCAGGCAGCGATCAAGGAGGAGACCCAGCAGGCAGCAAAGGCGGCGCAGCAGGCGCCGCTCCGGAACACGAGCCACGAAAGTGTTCGCGAAAGCGTTGTTGCTTTTCTTTTTTGGCGTCTATACGTCGAGTGCTAATCAAAGTTTCGAGTCGGTTTGCTCTTGGGAGGAGCTTAGCAAGGCTCAGACGTCCTTCACGGAGGCAGCAGAAGAGCAGAGAGAGAGCTAAGAGAGCATCTTTGAGAGGCACTGAGCTTTCAGAGCAGGGCTCGGAGAAAGCCCTTCTGCTTGGCGCAGCTTGCAATTTGTTGTCATTAGCTGCTGTCTTCTCCAAACTCATTAAAAGCAGAGTCCAGCGCTCTTTCTCGCGAGGCCATCGCCAAGGCCGCGGTGGAAGCCGGCGAGCTTCGGCGCAAGGTCAAGGACCTTCAGGAGGCCGGAGAGCTGTTGGGGGGGGGGGTTCGGTTTCGACCACAGTTTGGATGTGTTTCTTTTTGTTGGTCTTGAGAGGAGCTGGAGAAGGCCAAAGGCCGGGAGAGAGCGCAGGTAGTGAGTCTCCGCGTCTCCCTCTCTTCCCGTCGTTTCCCGTTTGCT